TCTGTCACTCAAAACATTATGCACTGAGAGTCTTAAATTTTCTCATTATTCCTATCATGTAATTTACCCAAAGGTCTGTCACTCAAATTCAGGAAGTCTCATTTTAATTCATATTAATGATTACTCAAAGAAATAGCAGTCTTTGGTTTAATATTAGATTTTAAGACTGCACATCATTTCGTGTATAAGTTAAGTGAAGACAGCTGTAGACTGATAGAAAAATTAACAAGGTCATGCTGCTTTCTAATTCTTTAAATCTGGTACTTTCCTCTATCATCTCTCTGCCTCATCAGCTCTTCATCTCTTTTTCAAATCTCACTGGAAAACTAATTTCCTCCTTGCCTCTACTGCTCAGTTATTTTCTCACTTCTATTTATTAATTCCATTCTAAATAATACTGGGATGAAGGAGAAGTAATATCTTATGTCCTACATATCCTGTCCACTCACTGTCCTATGGAAGTGGGTTAATTTTTTTGTGTGAAAACTGCCTGTGAACTGCAAATTGAATCTCCCAACAAAATGAAGTATTTTGGCAAAGGGATTTGGCTTTAAATTTCATCAAAAGACAAGAAAGCAAAGAAATATCATCCCTCTCCTCCAAATCCTGATTTTAAAGATATTCTCTACCTTCTCTATTTAGAGATTTCACTGCAATGCCCCGGGTTACTGCTTGGGTACATTCCATTAAAATCCCTTCTCTACAGACAGGTTTCCTTAGCTAATTATATGTTATCCTGTGTGTAACAGGAAATGTAATCCAGCTGCTGTGCTTGGGCCACGTGGGAGAACAAATAACAACTTAATACAGTTGCTGATACGTGCACAGCTTGCTATGCCTAATGCAGGTCTTAGGGAGCATTAATTTTTGATGATTAACTTTCTGGGTTTGGATGGAAAGGGGAGGAATAAGTGTTTTCCAGTTCAGCTGCACAACCTGGAGTGCAGCTGGTGGGATTTATATCCACTGTGTGTGTGTTCCCTTTCCCAGGAGGGAATTCCTACAGAAGGAGGAATTGTCATTACAAGGCTCTAACAAGGCTCCACTCCTTCCTCTGCCTCAAACATGAAACACTTTTAATGAGAGGTAAAGAGATTATGATGTCCTGGAATCTTGCAAATAGTGCAAGCTTTGGTCAGTGTCTCAGTAATAGTTTAAAGTATAAAAGAAAAATTAATTGCAATTAGCAGTGGCAATGAGATTATATTAATGAGTTTGACTTTTAAAGGGAAAGACACTATGGCACATGAGAGATTTTTTCTTTTAGAAATGGTGTTTGTGGATGATATCAAGGGCCTATAGAATATAATGGACAGAGTACAGAATAGGGCAGACACCCTGTACCAACAGAGATAATTTGCAATGTGTAGTATCTCAAGATCCCAAAGGTGGTCTATGAAGAAATGCTTTTATGAGCATGTCTTAGAATCTCCAAGGGCAAACATTTAACTGATTTTCTGTGTGTTGCTGTAAAGACTCACTTATTATGCAAGGCACAGACTTCAGAATTATTCATAATCTACCTGAAATCAGGTATTTCAACTACCAAGCCTCAACAAGGCAGTTGTTTCAGGATCATGATATTCTCTGTCTGGTTATATCACACAACTATTCAAACAGTTGAAAACCCTTTCTCTTTGCTGTGACAGAACTTGGAGAATTTTGGACTGAAAGCTGAAGAATTTTTGTTCTCCCAGGCCAAATCAGCTCTCTGATTATGTCCTAGGTCAGATTTTGTTCACTGCATTTTTGGCTGAAAGGCTGCAGAACAAAATGACCTCTTGTCAGACCACCACATAAAAATGTACTCAGTGCACTCCTAAATAAGAAACTACAAATCTGTACAACTGGCTCACAATGAAATTTAGTTATTAGCCCAAGATTTTCATTTTTAGAGACAATATTTCCTCAAGTTCTGAATGTTTTACAGCAATTCCCTGGAGAAATGAAGGTCGTATAGCAAAAGGTACTTTAAAGCAGAAAAATTATTGAACTGCTTTATTGTACTTTGAAAATAATGTATGAATCCCTATATGTAACTTATTGAGACCTCTGGGTAACTCTCCTTATCTACTTTATTTCTTTATAACTTGGTAATCTTTATCAGAAGAACATTTTTCACAGAGAGGACTTGATCTTTTGATAATTCTCTGTGAGTAATTTGTATTTCACAAGAGTATAAATTCAAATTTCTTGCATAATTGGCAAAGTGTAGCCTCCTCGTGCTGATTCTGGAAATGCATGGAAAGATGCATCTTTATGCTCCATGCTCATAATCATTAATTTGCCTTCCTTATGAAATTGTTGGAAACTGCCCCATTTTGTGGAGTGCTTACAGTTTATTGGGCAGCTGTTTGGTTTCTGAAGTTTACATATCTTCCAGAAAATTTTGGGAGCCCATGACAAGATACAACTTCCATTTGTGAGGCACAGAATTCCTACTGATAATTAAAAGCAGGCTGCTCCCCTAATGTGCTCACCAATGATGTACTCACAATTTTTCAAATGTCAACAAGGAAGCTTAAAAGAAATAGCAGTAATAATTGTAAAAGTTTAGAATATTGCATAGTTCTTCAGAGCTTCAAGAAGTTAAGAAACTGATATAATTGGCTGAATTTGAGGGACTAAGTGGTTGTATTTGATGAAGACATTCCATTTCTTATATTGTTTATCAGAATAAAACCTTTCATTATTAAATACAAATGACAGCTATAAAGGGAGAAAGATGGACTGCAAAAGCTGTTCCATTTTTCTACCTAGTTTATTAGTAGCTAAGACTACTGTTTTCTGCCTTTTTCTAGACTCCCTAAGACATTAATAAAATTTCTGACCTTTTCAAATTTAACACATTCTTCAACTTTACCTGCATTTTTTACTCTCTGTTAGAGGGATGTCTTTGTGATAAATTCATACTAGATCCAGCAGAAAATTATTTCACTCTTATCATATTTCCTGTGAGCATGCAACAACATCCCTATTTTGTCACTTCTGCTGAGAACGGGAATGCAGATATTCCCCTGTTTCAGAGTTCCTGGGAAGGCTGAGAGATTACAGTGTCACTGGCTACATCTAGCCCTGTCATAACACAAACTATGCTTTTTAATATACAGAGCTCCACAGTGAAGAAGAAAAAAACTAATTGAAACATAAAATTAATTGTGCATATTAATATTTTCTGGCTTTGAGGCAGGAACCATCCCTTTTTCTTTCTCAATATAAAATTTTATTTGCATTTGGCCACTACACTTAGCCAGTTTTGTAACGTATGCTTCTTGATTTAAATATGATTAAAGCAAAATTTAAATATTAAAATGGCGTGAAATAACATTTTCCAATTTAATGCTGTAAATAAGCAGAATGACTTGCAGTAATGGGTTATTCATCTCTCTGATCTAGAACCTGGTCTTCAAGACAGGTCTTGCAAATTACACGCTGGAAGGATGCCAGCAGTGAATTTTAACTCCCCTGACCTCAGAAGAAACAGTTTATAAATAGAAGATGCTCCTTATATATTTTAAAAGGTGAACACAGAAAATTGTTCTCTTTTTTCTCATAAAAACAGATAAGAGTGTTTTAAACTGTGTCTAGCCAAGGGTCTTAAAGCCTGTGCCTGTAGTCTTGCTGCACAATGGTCAAGGCTAAGGAGGAAGTAGACCTCCAAGAAAAATGATTTGCCTTGTCATTCAGCACTGACTGATCTTGGCACATAATCCATTGAGAAAGGATTTATTAAATACATATCTAAAATTTAAAATTTAACATCCATACCAATGGCTACAGAACTGTTGGAACTGTTCCTTTCAACTGAATAAAATCTCACAATTTGTTGTGTTAAATTAACCTCATTAATATCAATGAAGAAAAGAAGTTCAAGTTATATAATGGGGCTTGCTATGATAATGGATCAGAACCTGAAGGACTTCCATTTGAGTAGGAAAATAGGGTTCCTTGCTTTGGCTTACCAAATATTCTAAGCAATCTGTCTTCTCCTTGTAGCTGTCCTAGTTAAACTGTTTGGATTTTTTTCCCAGTTTACCCTTTCTTCTGCATCATTAAAGCTGCATAATCTCAATAGAGAAGTGCAGTCAAGGAATAAAATTCTCAGATATTTACAGAGCCTAATAAACCCCCCTAATACTTTCTTCTATGACTTGGTTTGTGTTTCTGTTCTTTGTGATCTTCATACACATCAGTTCCACTGTGACCTCAGATGGGGGCAGGGAAACACAAGAACTCACTTAGCAGGGAATTGTTTAAGGTACAGACATCAAAAATTTCCTGTCTATGTTTACAGCACTGAAGGCACTGCTCAGCACAGAATTTTTTACTGGTACCAGGCCCTGTAGCAACTGGAAATGACCAAATATGTTTTGTGCTTAGGGAAAAGGAGGCTTCAAATTATGCTTTTCCAATACATGCTGTGTGTGCACCTTGTACCTTTACTTGTAGTACATGCTGTAGCTCTTTTATGTGTGAAATTGCCTAATTTTGACAGAGCACCAGAAATCCAACAGTTTCTCTTGTAACCTTTTGTAACCCTCTAAACAATGCTGGTGCACCTATCCTTTAAGCACATATTATTGCTTTATTTAGCAATAATAAATAAATAAATACATCTCTTGCCTCAAAATGAAATCATGTTCCCATTCACTTTAATTCTGTTGTGTCAGTGTCAGTGTAATGTGAAGTTTTTGCAGCCTATGAATCAAAATATATTGAAGTATGTGATCAGTTTATCCATGTTTTTAAATGTAGTTACTATGAGATGAGTAAATGTACAATCTGCTTGCTGCTCTACTCAATTCTAGTGTGAAACAAGACAGTCATTAACAACTTAGAAGCAAAACAACAAAAAATCAACACAAAATAAAATGTCTGGCATATACACACAGCATTGTAGGTGGGGTCAAGTGAAAAGATTTTTAAAAAATACTATTAAGAATACAAAACACATTGCTCTTTAGGATCTGAGTGTGGGTGATGCTGTAAGTGAGACCTACTTTCTCATAGTACTTGATCTCGTAGTCCAGAATTGCTCCATGGGGAAAGTCCGGCTCTTGCCAGGAGAGGGCAATGCTGTTTTGGGAAGCCCAGTCCTTCCTGACCATACCTATCAAGGTGGGTGCTGAAAGGGAAAAGGATAACTAAGGGTTAAAGACGAAGCACACGGTTTATCCTTCCAACCTCCTGTCTGAGGACACCAACCCGAGGCAACTTGGAGCGACCTCCAGACAGAAAAGCATGACAGATGGCAATTCTCAGGGAAACCACACAACCTGGAATTAATGTCTCAAGCACACGCTGGTAACTCCTCTGCTGAGGTGCAGAGCAGCTTCTGGAAAATGGCTCTGTGCAAAAACACAGAAAGAAACTGGGCTGAGTGGGCTCTGCCCCAACCAGGCATCACTGCTGGCGCCAGGGACACCGTGTCCAGAGCAGAACCACACTGCAGAGGCAGCAAATTCTGCATGCAGCTCAATCTTCATTAAATGTTATGATTCTAGTGTTTAGGATGCACATTCAGTTTACTCTCTGGGGTAAAATAAAGTGACACAGCTCAAAACAGATGCAATGAATCCCTTTTCTGGCAAGCCCTTTTTGAGGTGTCTGTGTGCACCAAGAGCCAGCTCCTGCAGGAGCCCCTGGAAGGGATTGGAGTATGAGCAAAGGGGGAAAAATCAGCTCCTGGAAAGGGCCCAACACGTATGGATGCACCCAGGAGCCAAATTATCTCACTCTGGGGTTAACCAATTTTAAGAACCAGTTTTTCTGCCTTTTTGGAAAAGAAGATGTGTGGCATTCACATTTTCTGAAAAATCCCTTTGCCCACAATTTTTCTCCTGGGAAGCTGAGAAGCCTCCAAGAAAAAGAAAAATAATTCTTATCTCATTTGCTTCTCCTGTGTTTTGCTCCTTTGGAATGTGTTTGGAGATGGTTTACCAATAGGTTATTGTTTCATTGGTTTCTGATGTGTTTTCACTCATTGGCCAACCATTGCCAAGCTGTGTCGGGACTCTGGAAAGAATCATGAGTTTTCATTATTATCTTTTTAGCATTCTGTAAGTATCCTTTCTGTACTCTTTAGTATAGTTTAGTTTAGTATTCTTTAATATAATATAGATCATAAAATAATAAATTAGCCTTCTGAGAACATGGAGTCAGATTCATCATTCCTTCCTTCATCAGTGCACCCCAGAAATACAATAAAAGTGCATGGTTATCTATGCAATGATTTCAAATGATGCAAAGATTGTGTTCTAGAAAATAATCTTTGCTTGTTTTATTAATCGGGTCAAACATCTAAAAATATTCTCCAGACACTTATTGGCTTTAATACTATTGATGTGCAGCTTTCCCAAATGTTACAGCAAACCCAGTCATATTATTCAACAGTCCTGAACACAACTAAGATCAACAATCCAGCTACCATAAGTGGTTCACAGATTTCATTATTTGTCTTTCCACTAAAATATATTAGTTTATTACACACCCTCCCCCATTCATCTCTCTTCTGAATCTTACTTAACTTCTTCTAAGTTTCCATGGAGTTGTCTCCTAAAAATAACACATTTTTTAGGACTTCTGGTTTTATCTTTTGAATGAAATAATCTCCCTACGAAAATGAAGAGAATCTGCTTCTAGTCATAAAATTTTACACCTTAGTTTTCTTTTCTGTAAACATTTCAGGAGGTTTAAGAAATGAAAACAATAAATTCTAGAATGCAAACAGACACAAGAAAACAAAACTGTGTGTTTGTCTTTGAAAAGAGAAACTCTACACAGAGATGTGTGTATTTTTCTCTGTGATAATGCATTTATCTGAGAGAGAAAATTAACTTCCATCCAGTCTTACCTTTGGATGACTGTTCTGTGGGATAATGGTTTTGTCCTCTCTGATGTGAAAAAAATTCCCCAACTCAACACCCAACACCAGAAAAAAAACCCTACCAAAGTGTAAGAGCTGACACAGGAAACTTCTACACCTTTGCCACTTTAATCACAGGTCTGATGCAAGGGTGTCAGAGAGGAAAAAAAAACTCCTGCCATGCAGAATAAAGGATTAACTTGGTTTTCAGGAAGCCCTTAAACAGCATAATGTAAATAACTGAACAGAACAAAACACAAAGTAATAAATAAAAAGCATTCACAGGATTTGAAGCAAAATGTTGTCCCTGGGCAGGTTAAACTACTCCCTTAGCCAAAATTATATTTTTACTCTTGAAACTGAGGGTGAAGTTGAGCTCTCACAATATCTCTCTGGGGTACAATCAACTTCTCCAAGCAAGATACAAAGTCAGGTCTGTTAAAAGGAAAGCTGGAGCTAGCAAACATGGATTTGTAATTGCTAAACACTGATCAAGGGCCCAGGAAGGCATTGCTCACATAAACAGTTTTACTATTTGTCATTTTGAGTCATTCACTGGCATTGAGCTGTGATTTAGGGGTGGGTCTGAGGGAGCCACAGCAACCTGTCAGATACATCTGATTACCCCATGTGTGCCTCTTAGAGGTGATGAGCATCAGCACATTGCAGCTTCATCCCACAGCATCAGGGAGCTCACTGTTCAGACAACCCAACCCAAAATTACTCAGACTGGTGACAGAAAACAGGTTAAACTGGAGATAAAATGATATTCCTGGTTCTTTTAGGCTTATAAAATATACACTGCTGATATAACATGTCTTCAAATCATAGCCTCAACTTTACAAGCTTTTCATATGTACTGCATGATGGGGATTTTTCTTTGTGTTCTAACTTCCAAATTTATACAGCAATTCATGCATGTTTTCAGCCAAACTCAACACAGTAATTCTTCCATTTGTTGAAGCGCATTTCAAAAGCACAGTCATGGTGCATTGGAAGATTCTCTCAAAACTTCAGTATATGAAATAATTCCAGTTGTCTTTCTGGGAAAGAACTCGGTCTGAAATTAACAGAACAAAATTACTTTAGATCTCCCCCAAACCACCTGTGCTTGACCTGCACTTGAAACCAAGAAGCTCAAACAGCAAGGCTCACATCACAACTGTGGCACTGCGCCAGCACTGAATCCTCTAAATCCAAATGCAGAGATGTGCACATAAAGCTGTGAATATGACAAAAAAACCAAAAAAACCAAACCAACCCCCCCCCCCCCAAAAAAAGTGTACTTTTTAATAAAAAGGCACAGAAGAATCACCATTGACCATTTCCTGTATGTGCAGAAGGATGATCCTATTTTTGCCAGATAGGATTCCAGTCAGAAATTCATTGTAGGAAGAAATAGACAAATAAAACCAAGTAATTAAAAGCACAGCTAGCTGAGTTTCTATTCCTTTTGTTGCGAAGTGCTACTAAAGAGCACTCATTTCTGTGGAGAAATTTCAGCTCCTTATAACTGTTGCTCACCAGAGCAGAAGTCAATTATCCACTTATTGTTAAAGCTCTTTTTAAGCAGAAGATTGTAAGGTAGGTAAATCCTATTTTCCCATTCCTAAAGGCTGCTCTAATGTCCCTATGATGAATCAATGGGAAGTTCTTTTAATTTGTTGTTTCAAATCCAGTAGCTGCAGGAGAACTCTAATATGGTTACCCAATGAAACAATTTGCAAAAAAATAAATGCTTAGAAGAGCAGCATGGGTTTTAATCACTTTAAGGGCAGCACTTTCTTGCCATTGGTCCTAGGCTGAAGGGCAACTTCTGGCTCTTGAGCTCAGCACTGATCTCTGTTTTGTACAGAGCATTCTTTGCACCATCTGTTACATCTTCTACACTGTTATATATTTCTTGAATTACAATGAGTCATCTACAATGTGGTGAGCTCCTCATTTAATTTAGTCCCACAAGCTTCTTGGTCTTTTCAAATTTTTACTGAATAATGGAAGTGCATTCTTTCATTCAGAGCAAGCTGATTTTATTCTAAATTCCTTTGGCTTCTCTTTTTCAGAATCCTTTTTTCCTCATGTGATACATACAGGACAGAAAATGTGTATATTAAACAATGACTGGATGTAACTGTTCTTTCCCTAGAAAATTTCTTTTTCTGAGGCTGACTTCCATTATCCATAACTGCCTGATCTCAAAATAGGTGATTTTCATTCCTTCGGACACCATCCTCATAAGAAGGCTGTGGGTGTCAGTATGTAAAATATTGTGGCTCTCAATATGCAAAATAACGCCTTTTGGGATCACGTGTCTATATCTCTGTTTCTATATCTCTGCCATTAGCAACAATTACATAAATTGCATAATTAAATGTTATTGTTTCCTTGAGACCTCTGCCTGCTTCAAGGTACAGGAGAGATCACACTCACCAGAATACAGGGCTTTGTCACCTGTTTTCTGAGCAGGGTTTCCCTTCAGAGGCGGGAATCCACCTCTCTCCCTGCCTCTTCCTCCTCCCTTATCTCAGTCACTTCTCAGCTGCAGTTATGGGAAAATACTGAATAAACTCTACTCAAAGCCCTTGCTTCTCTTTCAAAACCATTAGTCCCTCCTAGGTTCACCCTACAGAGGAGGAAACTGCTTAAACATCCTGCAGGGAGCCTGCACTCCTCCTGTTGGGGGAACTAGTTTTTTCAGTAAGAGAAGGGCAGTTGAGGGTAGAAGTGATACCAATGCTGTAAAGATTACTTTACATTGACTGTGTTGGATCAGAAAACAAAAGAAAACTGTTTTCTTGGTCATGAAAAGGAAAGGGTTCTTCAGGCTTCATTTACAGATTAATGGCACAAATTAAACCAACAGTAAACTATGCTTAACACTATAGAACTGATATTTCAAGCCCATTAAACAAAAATGTTAGGAAATCAATGAAAAAGAATAGAGATGTATCAAGGTTTAAATCTGAAGTGTTCTTCCAGGTGGTAAAAACACTCTTTCCACTTTTTGTATACCAGAAAATGCTATTATAATTTCACAGTGTTTCACCAGCCTACGTTCTGTAACTATATTACAATTCCTATACTATTGGACACTGAGTATGATTTAAAATTATAAATATCAATAAAAAGAGCACTGAGATTTCATTCACAATGCCACATCTAAAAAAATAAAAAAGATTTCAGGGCACAATAAGAAAAAGATTCACTTCTGATTCTAGAAAGACTACTAGAAAGGCAATAAGCTGCTTATTATCTCTTAG